ATTCATGGAGTGATATTTAAAGTTTTTTTCCTTTTTTTTTTTAATATCTCTTATTAGCACCATCGTCCACGTCATCATTTAAACCATGTCAGCAAAAGAAGAATGGGGTCTCAAATCATTTCAAACCGTTAGCTACTTCAACATGGACTCTTAATCATTTCTTAGGAAAATCAATAAATGTCATATTTTTAATTAAAAATTGCTGAAAAATGATAATTTTAATTAATAAAAATAAAAATTGTAGTTTTAATTAAAAAAATTTATAAAAATTATATCTCTATTGACATAAAATCTCAATATTACAATATATGACAAATATCATAACAAATTCCATGTCATCTAAGATTTTGTGGCATTTACGATTCGAACATATTTCAATTGATAAATTTCAAAAGAAACTTAAAAGAAGAAAATGAGAAATAGTACCTAATAACTCTAAGTAATTTTAATTATAGTCATTATTTTAATAAAATTAAAAAATTTTAAATTTAAATCGTATCTCATATAAATAAAATAAATCAAAAAATAAAAAATAATTATTTTTTATTATGATCAAGATATTAAAAAAATAAAAAAGAGAAATAATACGGACTATATCATGGAAAAAGAACACTGCATGTGCAAAACGAGTACTTAAATTATGACCGTAAAATGGTTTCATTACATGACCTTTAACTTATCGGGGTCTAACTCTTTGATTATACATTCTAGGATTTGTATAAGACAGCATTATATGTAATTAAAGTTCTTAATAACAAGGACTTAACTAATTTAATTTTTTTTTTTACAAATTTTAAATTTATATTGCATAACACATGGTAAAGTATATTAAGAGATAATAAAGAATCTAGTTATGGAATTAAAAAAAAAAAAAAGAAAAGAAAAAAAGAGAAGGAACTCTTGATAATGATTTCCAAGAATGCTTGCTTTCAGGCGCCACATAATATTACTCTTTGGAAATAGGAGTTTAGGAGGCAAATTGAAATCCCTAGATCAGAATTTACCTGTTTCATGATGGATACGCGTTAATGTCAATTCCTCTCCAATTTGTTTTGCAATGGTTGTTTCAAGGATTTGGGTGTGAAGTGCAAGAGGCAAACAGTTGATACTTGGAAGGAATGAATGGGTTATTAGGGCTCAAAACGCTGAGAAGTCTACCCTAATCAATGCATTTGCGAAGGGATGGAGTTACACGGTTCACAGGAGCTCCTCTTCCTATTGGGGATGCATTAGCTAGTTAGGTTCAAAACACTGACATTCTGGACATAAGATGGCGTTGAGATTAAATTGCTAGAGAGCCATTAGTTCTTAACGGGTCACCATTTATTGAAAGACCTGGATTTTGGCTACCGAAGCTGTATCAAATTTCAGATACAATCGGTAACCAGACAAAATTTGAAAATAAGAAAAAGAATCTTCAAAAAAGGGAAGTTCAAAATTCCTGTTAGAGGTGTTCAGTTAATAACCATTTGTTATCGAAGATGTAAATTTATGTGAACATGTACTCAGTAGCAATTTTTTAGAAGTCAACAATTGTTGAGAATATGCCTTGAAAATTGATACTTGAAGCCCTTGCAAGAGAGAACAAGATAAGGTTCATGAGAAAATGTAGTCATGAAGGTTTTGGAACATTGATGGAAGGTTCTGGAACTCAGGAGAAGAAAAATGGTCAGAAAGCAGCAAGGTTTTGGAACTTTACAAGGAAGTGTTGCAACTTGATGTTAAAGGACATTTTATAATGAGGTTTCAACTTTCTATTGGAGGGCATGGCTTTATTTTTGGTACCAAACACCCCAAACTCAAGACCCTTAATCATAAATATGTGTTTTTTTGACCCCCTTTGTGTGGTGAGTGAGAAAATCACCAAAAGAGACAAAGTGTGGGTCTTTTACTGAAATCATAAATACTTAATATTTGAAAGGTGAAAACACTATTATGAGAGAGTGTTCATAACAAAGAATGGGTGGGTTTGTGAGGATTCTTGAGAGATACTGATTGAGAGTAGGTGAGATCATTTGGGCATCCATTAGTGAGGGATTGTCTTCCAAATTGACATTCTCGCATTTTCCGTGGCTGTTTCCTGTCTTGAGGTTTTTTACGTAAATTGGTGTGTCAATTCACTTGGAATTTCCAAATTGATCCTTTGCTTCCGTTGTAAATTGGTGAGTCAATTCACTTGAAATTTCCAAATTCAACTTTGCTTCCTTTGTGTTTGGGTTTCGTTGTGTGTGTTAAAATCCCCAAAAACAATGATACTGTTAATTTTTAATTTTAGTTTCGCAAGTACTCAATTCAAATCCCAATTACCATAGATTACTAATTTCTGCTAGATGCCGAGCAACAACGGGTTTTCAATGACGATGAGGTTGGCAAAAACATAAAATTTTCAATTTTCATTTACTATTTTCACTAGAATTTTACATTTTCTTTCGTTAACAGAAGGCAGAGAGATTGAGAATGAAAAATATAGTACTACAAGGTTTAGAGCTTGGCTCTATACAAAGTTACAGGAAGCAGAAACTACTGTGACAAGGTGCTTGATGTACTGCAGCTTTTCAGCGTGGCTGCTGGATGCGCTGGGACACACATTTTGGATTCACATTCTTAGCTGGCTTCGCTGCATATTTTGCTGGTTCCACAGGAGATTTAAGATTTGATTGTAACAAGCTCAGATTCTTCATCAGGGCCTCAGCATCCCCTACATTAAACAAAGAACTCAACAAAATTACGTTTGAACTATAAATAAACATAATTCTCCATTTCCAGCTTCCCAGGTGTTTTGACATTTTGAGGATTAAAGGCATAGCTAATGCATACCACCAGTGGAAGGTAAAGGGACAGATCTGTTATCCATTTCAGTCTCATAAGACTGAACAAACTCTTCAAACTGATGATCCATGCTAGATAGATCTTCACCGGCAACAAGATCAAATGTATCTGGAAGCAGATCAACAATGTCATTGCCATCAAAGTCATCTTCAGTATTATTGTAGAAACCATCTTCACCCTGGTGCTGGCTAAGCCAATATTCTCGGTACCATGTTGAGGTGGTAATCAGCTGCCACCATTGAGGTGAGAAATCCTCCACTTGACGGAATGCAGCAGGAACAAAGAGTGGGGCATTAGGGTTCAAAGTTGACCTTCCTCCTGAAACTAGCGCCATAGTAATCTGCATCATAAATACATATGCAATTGGGATTGTTAGTAAACAAAATAAAACCAACCTGCAGCAAAAATGGAACAAAGAAAGTTGATGACAATCTAGATATATCATAGTCAATATTTGGCAGGCTGCCACAACAAAAGATGAGAAACAGTTAGCTTAGATCATATTCTCTATGTTTCATCACGAGAAAATAACAGCAGCATAAAATTTCTAAATTTTGAAGTAACAAATCCCTCAAGATGTCAAACTCAAAGAAGGAATCATAGATGCATTCAAAAAACTTCCTCAAGACATAGTCAGCTTTTCCAAATGCAGATTCCCAGATTATATCTTTAATTTGCCCAGTCCTAAAGAAATAAATACATACAGTGCATCAACCAATTAGTGGAAATTAACCAACAATTGGACTTCTTAAAACACCTCCATAAGACATACTGTTCAGCAATTCAAAGATAAAATACTCATCATATCTAGTTCTTCTTAATGTCATGGAACATGAATATATTCAAGGCTCCGAAGATGTTTCTGATCCAGTAAATCCATATAAAATCAGGCTACAGATCTTAACGATCAGATCTCCTAAAACACAAAGCACACATTATCATCATTAAACAGCCCAAATTCCGTTTGCCTATCAAGAAAATGCAGGAAAACTCTAGAATCGTAAACGTGAAAACTCAATCTCAACACCTAATCCTCAAAAGTTTCCTTTCTCACACTTTACATTTCTTCAATTTCCTCGGCAACCAAACAACAGATCAAAGAAAACAATTCTTCAACTTTCTAGGCAATCAAACAACAGATCAAAGAAAATCACCGTCTAAATCAATCGAATCCTAACTCAGTAACATAAATCACGATCAAGGAAAACAATCCTAACTGAAAACTCAATCTCAACATCTAATCCTCAAAATTTCTTTTCTCACACCTTACATTTCTTCAACTTTCTCGGCAATCAAACAACAGATCAAACAAAATCAGCGTCTAAATCAATCGAAAACAATCCTAACTGAAAACTCAAATCTCAACATCTAATCCTCAAAAGTCTCTTTTCTCACACCTTACTCACCATCTGAATCAATCGCACCCTACCTCAGTAACACAAATCACTATCATCCGCAGAAAATTTTATGAAAAGTTGAGATAATCGGAGTACCTTTTAGC